TCATGATTTTTGCAAAATCTATCAGCGACGGCGTGGAGGCTCGCAGTGGTGTGTTGGCTTTGCGATGGCCGGGGGATTGAGCACAGGGTGGCGATCGACGTTTGCTAGGGGAAGAGAAGAGAGCGAGGGTTTTTCTTCTCATTTTACGTGAATGAGAGAGAGAGTGAGAGAGAAATATGAGAGCAGCGGGTGAAAGTGAAAGAGAGGAAAAAGGGTAACATACATATATATAATAACTTAGGGTTACCAACTTGCCATCCAAGAAAGAAAAGAGGGGGAATGACCGGGTGGGGCTCGGGCCGAAGGCGCGGGTGCGCAGGCGCACGGTCCGGTTCTCTAAGGTTCGACATAGCAATTAAAAGGCTCGGTTCATCGCGAAACGTTCAGAAATTAAAATAAAATACTTGACAATATATATTTATATTACACACAATAAAAATATATTATCAACCAATATAATCAATTAGACAATTAATCAATACAAATAATAATGACAATAAATAATAATCCCAAAAATCCAATAAACAAACGGGGCTTCACACAATAGGTTGGGTCAGCAGCATAAGAAAAAGGGTAGAAATTATGGCGACCCAGGTCACGTTGTGACCTTGGGTCGCAACCGGCCGTTGCTTCTTTCTTTCTTTTATTTTTTTTACATGCTTTTTGGATAAAGGGATGAGAGGAATGGGACACTTGTCCCATTCCCATTGGTCACTGTAAATTTTATATGATAAGATACGAATAACTCAAATTATTAATATAATTTTATATTAAAAGAATTAAAAAAAAACAAAATTCGTATTTTTTTATTCTCTATAAAAAGAGACAACTCTTGATATGTTTTGGAACACAATTGAAATATCTCTGTTTTCACTCTTTTGTTAATCATACCTTATTAATTTTATCATCTCTTATTTTTCCTAATTAACAACAAATACCATATGGATCCAAATTTTGAGTATTACCTCAATTCTAAAAAATTTTCGAACTTTGAAAAATGTTTGAATTTAGAAAATTATTCACAAGAGATATTGAATATGAAGATATTGAATACGTTGTTCGCAAAAGACCACTTATTGCTGGAAGATGAAGAGATGAAACGTCATTTAACAACACTTGTATTTGGAAAGTCGCTGTAATTTCATTTGAAATGTCTGTAACTTGTTTAATTTATTTCGTACCAAATTATGTAATTTTAATTTTTTATAATTTCTGTTATCTTTTTTAGTTGTATTTTAAAATTTTTTGTAATCATTATGATTTTATTATAGATTTTTATAATTAATTTATCACAACTAAAAGAATACCAAAAAATCTATTGTAGATAATGTTAATAAATAATTAAATAAAAATAAAATAAATATAATGTCGGGTTAGGTTGAAGATAAAGATATAAAGATTGTTAGAAATTGGATTGTATAAGTGGAGGAGAGAGAAATAATTTTTTATTATTGAGTTGAGTTGAACTGAATTGTGGATAAATATATTATATTACAAATATAAAATAGATAAACATTATATAACAACACAAACAGAAGGAGAAGAAATAAAAAGAAAAATCTTCTGCTACACTACTCAAAGGTCGTCGGTGGAGATAGGCACCAAAACGTGAGGCAAAATCTCCTTGGAGCCCCATAGCTCATGGGCTGTCCCTTTCAATTTGAAAAAATTCATCTCATAAAAGTATACAAAAAAATAATTGATGGGTACGATGTGTAGCAAACTAGCAATAATTGATACTAATAAAAGAGCAGCAAAAAATGATAAATAAACAAAAATTAATTAAATAATTCCTTTCCCAGAAATTCTATGATGACACATGTGACACATATTATGATGCCACAACATGATATGATACATTATGATTGGTGCCACAATATGACGTGTAATAGTTGTAATACCAATCATAACGTGGCACTATAGAATTTCTGTCACTTTCCTGGTTGTTACTTTTAAGTTTTAGGCCCAAAACCCTTGTGCGCTTGTGTCTCTCTTTCTCCCACTCTCTCTCACACACACTTCCATTATCAAATGTTTTTATGGTGACTGTTCGCCGACTGATAATTTTGATTAAAACAAAGAAAGAGATTAGGCGCAGAAAGTTTAAATCTTGGGGAGCCCCACTTTAAGTTTTTCCATTAAATATCATTCTTAGCATTAGGAGTGTCTACAAACATAAAGAGAAGCCAAGAAAGAGTAAATCTTGATCAGCCCACTTATATTTTAGTAGTATTTGTGTGTGTTTGTGTGTGTTTGTGAGAGAGAGAGAGCAGAAAAATTGGATCTTGATAAAGCATTTGGATATTTGGCTTCATAATTTGCAGGTAATTTGCAAGGTGCTGCTTTCTCACTGGATCTGGGCTTTTGATTTACGAAGGTGATTTCTTGTTATTTGATTGTAGATGGAAAGGAGCAGATTTTTATTTTTTTTTTTTTCTATGTTGTCTGATGCATTTATGCTTAATTTTGTGGTTCCAAATTATGAATAATGTTTTTGTTCCTTTTTTCCCCCTCAATAATTGGTTCTGCAATTTGTTTGTATTTCCCTTAGTTTCCCCACAATCAATTATTTTGTAAAAGATCACCTTTTTTTTTTTTTTTATTGACAATAACGGCTAATCAGACTTCATTTTCATTTGAATTGATGCATAATTCCCACAGATTTTCTACTGGATATTCTCTGAGGCTGAAGAAAAAGTAGTAACAATCACCTCACAGAAACATAGAGATTCTGAACTTGACAAGATAATGGCTCTTATGATTGAGAAAGATACTATCATTGATATAGAGAGCTGTCTTAGCACGATCAAAGAACTCGAAACACCCGATGTTTCAAACCTTAAGGTCGGTGAAAACACGATAAAAGTATGCGGTTTGCCTATGAGTGTTGATGATCTAGCCAAGTGTAGTGAAAATTCACAGATTAGCCCGAATTCAGTCAAGAATGCTAAAAAGGAAAAGCGGTTCTCGATGAGCGCTAAGAAGCCGCCCAAACCCCCACGGCCCCCGAGAGGGCTGTCTTTGGATGCGGCCGATCAGAAGCTGATCAAAGAGATTTCCGAACTAGCCATGATTAAGCGTGCTAGGATAGAGAGAATGAGGGCATTGAAGAAGATGAGGGCAGGGGCAAAAGCGTCATCCGGCACGGCCTCGTCCAGCGGCAACTTGATTGCGATGCTCTTCACGGTTGTCTTTTGCGTCGTGGTTATTTTTCAAGGTAATACACTTTTTTTTTTCTTAGGTGTTGATTGTGATTTTTTTTTGCTGTATGTTTTTTAGTTGGTTTTCAGAATTGATGGCATTTCAAGGCACAGAAGTTTGTAGAATGGACTGATTCTTGCACTAATGCACGGACAATTTACATTAAACATTTTTTTTTTCTTTAATGCAAACCCTGTATGACTATTCAACACTTGCATGTTAAAGCTTCAAACTGGATTTTTGTCGGTTATAAAGACGTGCCTTGTTCTCATACATATGAGATAAGAGCCATAGCTTGTATTACTGTCTTGAGATTTCATTGACCATGTTAAGTTATTAGGTTGCCATCCTTTGCGGATATTGCCGAGTAATAGCTCCACCACTAAAATAATGCATTCCTCAACGCCAAATGGAGCAAATGAGCGCCATTTTCTCGGTGTTGTAAATCAATATTGGAGTTCATCTACTACTAATGTAAACACACCGTCCGGTTCTGGATCTCCCAGGTTTTTTTCTTTTTCTTCTTCTTTTTTTTTTTCTTTTCTCTTATGTGATATCTCCCTTAAATAAAAGAAAAGAGAGAGTATAACCGAACCTTACACGTTATTTTCGCAATACACGGATTATGACATAGTATACCAATTTTCTTTTCCATTTCTTTGGCAGTTATGTGGACCTGGCTCCTGGTTTAGATAACAATGAGGATGCCAATAATCGCCCTGTCGAGTAAATATGTGTGAGGACTTTGTTTCGAATTGTGTAGAAATATGCCCAGGCATTGAGACTGACCAATAAAAGCTCTTCTGGTGCTAAAGTTGATGAAGTATACATCTCATAATGTGATAAATGCCGCGAAAGAGTCCAAATTCGCTCGTGTTCTGGTCTCGACTTGTGTTTCAGTCTTGTATGTTCATGATGTTCAATAAACACGACGAGCTTGAATTTAAGGATTGAGTCCATATGTGAAAACCCGATTTGTCGATAGGATTTCTCTTAGATCTGATAATGCAGATAAATCTAGTGAAATGCTGTTGGTTCATTTTGTTTGAAGTATTTGAAGACTTTTGCAAGAAGTTTGTGTTGGGCTCATTTTTTCTCGAGTCTCATTTGCTTTGATCTTGGAACTGAGTCATGGTAATTTTCTTTGGTTGGGTATGAGTTTTTGAAATTGAGTTGACTTTGTGAGTGAAAAAAATTGAAATAAAATAAAATCAATAGTAGTGTAGTGTGATCTGTTGGGTGTTTTGATTTGGTCTTTTTATTTATTTAATATTATTTTGAATTCTTGGATCATTGTTTCTGTTGATTGTCAGTCATGTCACGTGAAACTGATGAGATTCGTTTTATCATGTTTGACACGTTCTAAACTTCATCTGAACTCGACCCTGAAAAAATGTATAATTTCATCTAAAGTAGAATAAATCAATACATAGAGCGCTAGGCTATGAGAAAGAAGGTAGAATAAAGGAAGGAAAAAAAAAAAAAA